GTTAGGGAAGTCGGCGGGAGCAGGGATCACACGACCGAACGGGAGGAAGAGAACGAGCAGACGAACGAAAGAAAATAGGGAAAGAAAAAGAGAGGAGCGGCGGTAATGCTTACAAAAGAAGCCCTAATATCTATTTACGCATGATTGGCGAACAAAAATGTTCGAGGCAGCGCCTCAATCGCCTCGACGCCTCGCGCCCTGAGGCGTACGCCTCAAATGAAAAAGGCGTATGTTTTGTCCGAACAACCGAGGCTTACGCCTTAGTTCGCCCACTTAACGCCTCGACTCGAGGCGCGCCTCAAGGCTATCGCCTCAAACGCCTTTTAAATGGTTGTGTAAAATGGCATCATTATATTTCAATCACGACCAAAGCCCGTATGTTCCCTAATGGCTTCAAACTCTTGAGTAATGAATTATAGGATATATTCGATAGGCATAATGCCCTCTGTCAGCTTAGGTAGATTCATATATATCCCCTTAGACAAATACTAATCCAAGTCTACAATGTATTCTTGGATGAAGCAACCCATGACTGCTGATAAGGTACCTTTTGTCAGGTTGGGTCGACTATCTCCTATGACTAAGTAGACCAGGGAACATGACAGCCCGAGATGACAGAACAATGAGATCTTGATCGGGCTCGTCTTCACTCCCCCAATCATCAATTTTAAATTTACTGTGATTAACTTTAAGTTTGAAACTACAAAATTCATATCCCGAATTCAAACACTAAAATTGTTGCTATTATACATTGGATTTGTAATCTATGCGACCTCTTTAACAATTAGCCTTAATCGAAAGTACTCTCTTGTTACCGGGAGGTGTGATTAACTATAGGGGCCTGCGCCTATAGGAAACAAGAACTTATATCATAAATTTCTTACAAAATGAGGGCGAAATCTCTGGGTAGTGTTTTATCCAAAACCAAATTTGCCTTCTGAAAATTCACCCAGAATCTAATTTTGTTAAAACTCTCCGTCATCATTCACATAAACAAAGAAGAAAAAAGATTTGTACGTAGAGGCTGGGGCGAATACGAATTTTCGGACCCCACAAGAATATGACAAGCTTGATTTTGTAATTGTATATCCCCTTTACTCCTAATGTCATAAAGCATTGGACTTTTGATGGATTTAAAACTCATATTAAATTTGGGCCAACTCTTATATTAACAAGCCCACCAATTAACGTCAAATTCACAAATTAAAATCTTACAAATAAAAAATCAAGACTTTGTTGGTCATGTTTGATGCCTTTGAACATAAAGCGACCGTGCTTTGTGTCTCTAACTACTCAGTGAAATTGATACTAGCAACCTTTTACCGGTAAATGAGGCGACACAAATTTTGAAAGCACTTCTTTGAGACATATTTTCACCCCAATCTGCTCGAAATACTTGATATGAGGCAACCCATGATTTCTAATCAGACTCCTTAGACTTTTTCGCTCAAAGTCTCCTGATATTGGCAGATTGGGTCTGCTGGTATACCCGGGACAATAAACCATGAGATTTTGATTTGATTTATGCCTATCCCTCTAATCATTCGCAGTCAACTAAATTCAAACATAAATATTAAATCTGGACCCAAAAGAGTGAGCCTAAGCTAACTTCGTTAATTGAAAGTGATTTCCCATGAATGAGAAGGTAATTAATTAGTGGAACTTGCATCCATAAAAATTCTAGACTACATATCTAAATGAACCGTGATCTATGTTGCACCGATACACCTATTTATGAAGGCGTGTTGTATCCGATATACCAATACACGGATACACCTCCGATACGGCACTGATACGACTTTGTGGTTGCTTTTTCTTGGGCGATCACTCATGCTTGCTAATATTATCGATTAATGTTGCGAAAGAGGTGGAGTCGAGAAAGATGAGTCTTTTTTATACAAGTTTATTGTAAGTGGTGAGCTATGCCATTTATTGCAGTTCTTGGCTTGAGAGTTGATCTCTAAATGGATGGAAGCTTGTTCATCTGCTCTGCCACAAGGCTGATGAAAGCTGTATTTATATTAGTAAGATGATATAAAATTGAGAGGGTTGTTGCAAATGAATAGTTTGGTAGATATAACAGTAAGTGTTTCCTCCTTTAAGCTCCCGCTTTACCAAATCAATTATTGAATTTTGTGGCGTTAGCATTTTAAGCGTGCATTCTCATCAGAATCCTGCTTCTAATTCTAGCATTTATTTTGGTAGTCAGAATAGTGCATTCCTAAGTTTTTGCTTCCTATGGGCTATGAGTTTACTTTCTTGGTCATATTCATATCACTGGTTTCCTGTGGGTTTTTGCGCTCGACCTATCTTATACTTTTAGAACTACTTAATTTCCTTTTATCGGTATATAAGCTGTTTTAGAGGAGAAATTATTCTGTGCGGACACTGGATAGTTCGGAGACCAATCAGAACGTATCATGTCACCCGGTACCAAGTAAAAAAGTGATGTGGCGCGTTCTGGTTGGCCTCCGGACGCCGTCAGGGGTCCGCACATAATTATTTTTCGTTCTAGAGGGTCTATCAAGTGTTTCTTAATAGTCTTGATATTCGTTTGCAGACCAAATTGCTTGGAGCTACTCCTGCTTATATCTGATCATTTCGACATACATAAAATATTTTTATACGGAAATATTCATATCAAAATGGATTTTCTTCCTCTTGATGTCTTCCAAAATTGGAGAAAATAGTTTTATATTCTTGACAACAGAAAGTTAGCTTGCCTTTTTCTTTTTGTTTTGCCACAGGTTTTAATTATCAAATGAACTTCTACTTGAGAGATGTTGTTGCATGAATAACTAACATCCAAACTAAACTGAATTGATTAGAACTTCTTTGAAAATTTATGATGCAGGCCTTGAACAATCTTGGCAGTGTATATGTGGATTGTGGGAAGCTAGATCTGGCAGCAGATTGCTATATCAGTGCTCTTAAAATTCAGCACACAAGAGCTCATCAAGGACTAGCTCGTGTACATTTCCTTAAAAATAATAGGACTTCTGCATATGAGGAAATGACTAAGTTGATAGAGAAGGCTAGAAACACCGCCTCGGCATATGAGAAGAGGTCGGAGTACTGCGATCGCGAGCTAACGAAAGCAGATCTGCAGATGGTGACTAAATTGGACCCGCTGCGCGTTTACCCCTACAGATATCGCGCTGCAGGTTTGATGATTTTTTTTAAACAATTCTTTAACACTTTAACTTTTTATGTTAAATAGGATATTTTTTTTTCTTTAGTGAAGTAGAAAGAACTTTGCTCTTTTACAAATTAGTTTAAATGCGTGGGAGTGTGTTAGGCTGGCCCAAGAGGGGCTGGTTGCACCTATTGAACCGGTCCCTAGTGGACTGGTTTTCTATTACAGGCGCCGGCCCAAGGAAGGGAGAGAGAGAGGGCCGGATTTTGTATTACTCTTTTGGCTTTAATTAGTTGCTAATGCTAGAATTAGGGTTTCATCTTGAGTTTGAAATCAAATTTGAGATCTAGGGTTTGTACTTTAGGCTCTAGACTTGGCTAGAGATTTGGAGAGTTGTTTCATCCTCTCAAATTGAAGAAATTTGTATCGTTTACTGTTTTCCTGCATCGGCTAGTGGAATTCATCGTTTTTCTCTCAGTTTTCTACATATTTCTCAACAAGTTTGCTGTACCGTTGCGGTTTTCTGATGTAATCAGCAGTTTTCTTTCTGTTTTTCACTGATCACTGCTAGGTTTGCCTGCGAACTCAAGTATTTCCCTTAGGATTACTTGCGAACTCAAGTATTTCCTATCTTAGTGTTGTAGTTGTGATCTTTGCCAAAAGTATTGATCAAAATTACTCACTCAAAGCATCACTCGCTAAGATTTAAAAACAAGAACAACTTTCATTTATTACTTCAAAATTTTGGGTTATGTTGAGCTTCTTTTTTAACCATCATGGTCCATCTATGATGCATAACATTTCTTATAAATATGATGTTTTTCTTAATTTTCAGCTGATAAGATAATTCTTAACAATGCCTGAATTTGCCATTGATGAAGTTACTCTACTTATTGTTGCATTTAACAGTGCTTATGGACAGTCACAAGGAAGTAGAAGCAATAGCCGAGCTAACGAGGGCAATTGCCTTCAAAGCCGACCTCCACTTGCTCCACCTAAGAGCTGCATTCCACGAGCATATCGGAGACGTCGCCGGTGCTCTTAGGGACTGCAGGGCCGCTCTCTCGGTCGACCCCAACCACCAGGAGATGCTAGAGCTTCACAACAGAGTAAACAGCCAAGAACCATGATTGAAATACTTAGTCCATAGCTTCATTTTGTACACTACAGATCCTTGGCCCCAATCCCTTCTAGCATATTGTGTTTTTTGTTCTTTCTTTTCTGCTCTTTCCTCGTCCCTTTTCTTTGTAAGTTTGCCTTCTACAAGTTTCAGTATGCACTTGGCACTTTAGCTTCTAGCCTTAAAAATTTTGATATGTGAATGGAATTAAAAGCTTGAAAGGTGAGCGTAAAAATGGCAAGAAACCATGAGCTGGTACAGTTTTTTTCTTCATATTTCAATTGAAATCTGAAGAAGAGCTTCAGTTAGTCTGTCATGAAGGTTCAGGGATCATCACTTGAATGGCATCCACTTTAAGACTATGGTATTGTAGTTTCTGTCTCTATTGTTTAGTTTGGGATGGCTTTCTTACTGCTTCTAAAGCAGCTTTTTAGTATAATTTTTTTAATTTTTAAACTAAAAAGTTGTTTTAAAAAGCACTAAAAAAATTGTCTCAAACAAAACCTATTTTATCAGAATTCTTTCACCTATATTTCCTGTAATAAAATTGCAACTATTTCTTTATTTGGAAGCCAGTTCTTGTAGCACACTAGATAGCGAGGGCTTGATTGTTTGTCTTAAAGCTTATCCTCTCTTCTCTACGGCGAATTATTATGTCCGGACATCCAATCCAGATGCGTCATGTCACCCAAATACACTGGGACTCGGTATATTTTGGTGACGTGGTGCGTCTGAATTGATGTCCGAACGAATCCGAATAATGGACGTAATAATTTGCCCTTCTTTACCCACTTGGTGAACCAGTTGGAACTTGAAAGTCTCTATAGCCTGTCGACCTCTAAGTGCATTGTTCATCGTCATGATGAGCTACTGTGAGAAATCAATTGTCTGATATTGGCAATCATTGAGCAACAATTGACATGGAATGTTGGCTTTTAGTAAACAGAAAAATTCTCAAAATAGACATTAGTAATAATATGATTAAGCCAAAAGCAAAAGATTTGTCATTTGAAATCTAAATTGAAGGAAAGCAACATAACTCTAAAATGAGAAATGGGGCTCAGATAACTGTGCAGGGTTTCACATCTAATAGGAGGTGCTAAAGGTGTTAAAATGGGTATTCGGGATAAGTTTATGTTGAATCTGGAATTGATTGGGGTTTGATATATTTGATATGGACTCGATTTTGTTTTGCTATGGTAAAAAAATTTAGATCTGAGCCTGAACTATTAGGTTACTAGGTTGACCTGACTTGACTCAAAGTGTCAATTGTGAGCGTGCGTGAGACTACAGGCGAGGCCGGTATTGTACTAGGATTGAACGTGGATCGTGTGCAGGGGTGTCGAGTGCGACTGGCGAAGGCGAGGTTGCATTGTCTAGAGTGTTAGTGCGTTTGCGCAGGTGCATGCCTTTAGCGAGTGTGGTGAGGGTGATTCGGCTACGCAAGTGCGTGTGGTGTGAAACTATCAACGTTACGTGGGTGTTGTATGTCACGGGGGGGGGAGTCATTTTGGCAAGGTCGAGAAAGGATCAAATCCGAGTCAATTTCAGGCTAGCGAGTTAACCATGTCATGATTCGATTTTTCAAATGAGTCAAAAATAGGAACCTAAGCTAACCAATTTGTTTAACGGGTTGACTTGAGCTCAGATTTTTCGGGTCGGGTTCTGATCGAATTATCAGGTCAGGCCAATAATTGACACCTCTTAGAGGCGACATCATAGTAGATCAAAAAAAAGTGCGTCGATGTCATGGATCTTCACGAGAATGTAGTTACTATTCTTTCTTCCTTTATATGCTTTGGAATACATAGAATCACTCATTCTCACTATAATATAATCAGTGAAAAATAAAAGCAACTTGCCTTAGAGAAATTTTATCACAATTGAATACATGTTATTGATTTGTGTGCCATCAATCATAAGATTTCAATCCCTTTATTGTTTATGGGATCCCATCACATCTCTTTTGTTTTGACTGATTGATGTGTTACTTCTTTGCTTAACTATATTTAATTTATTATGAGTAATGTTGAAAGAAAATAAGTATATTTACCTCTCTATATAATAAATTAATAAGATTATCCCCAACATTGGTACATTTTTGAATTTAGTGTCTCAAGATTAGCTTAATCATTGTAATTTTATTAGAGTTTAATGAATAATCATTAATCAATATAATTAATTCATTCAGATTTTACCAAGAAAAGCTGAAAAATTGTGTAAATATGCTCATGAAGATATTTTGTTTACAAGGTCTTGATACTCTTAATGTTAGGAACAATGCTGACCGTTGGATCTGGATCTAAGGGATCACATGATTGTATTTCTTTCAGATTAGACATTTCCAAGTTTTATACTAAGATTTGTCTGGTCATTTCCTTATAGTACTTTTGTTTTTTTGAACAGGGATATCTACCTGCTGCCACCCTCCTTAGGAGGTACTTGACGGCAAAACTAATCCCTTGACGAGCCTACCAGCAACCAGTTCACAGGTGCAAGACTTATAGTTATTTTCTCCCCACTTAAGGAGTCGCGCCATATAAAAGGAGATACGAACATGAATTAAGGGTTCCCAATTATGCTCGCCCATCAACCCAGCTAACCCGAATGATTTCCTTGTAGTATTGAAAGACCAAGTTCTTGAACTATTTATTGACTATATCCTTTGGGAAGCTTTACTGCAATACTCTGCAAGATTGTCTTCTTTTATGGTATTTTTATAGTATGAATTGATGGGACAGAAGCTAGTGGGGCTTGCAATGCAGGATCCAATTTTAGTACATTTTCATGGCACTGCTTTTTTCACCATTGACATCCCTGAAAGGACCATTTGAGACCATTTTCTTAGATGAATCGGCAACATAAGACATCCGCTTTTCGACGGCAAATTATTGGGTCAGGTGATCGAACGCAGAGATAGGTCCGGATATTAATAAAATATTATTTTAAACTTAGCGCAAGTAAAACGCAGGTAAAGCGCAACTAAAACGCAACTAAAGAGCAACTAAAGCGCAAGTCAAAAAGCGCAACTAAAGCGTAGGTAAAGCGCAACTAAAGCGCAACCAAAGCGCAACTAAAGCGCAAGTCAAAAAGTGCAACTAAAGCGCAAGGTGACGCGACAAATTTTTATTGGATGTCCGAACTTATTTTTCGCCTCCGGTCACCTGACCCAATAATTTGCCCTTTTCGACGACTCTATTAGGAGAGTAGATGTATAAGATTCGACTTATGTTAATAAAGATAAGAGGTAAACTTAAAAAGCTTGATTAGAAATTATTAATGATGAGTGTTTTTAATTGGATTTAAATGAGAATTTGACTCTTAATAGAACTCAATTAAAAAAATGATTCATGTAGCCGATCCTACGTAGTGGGATAAAGGTTTGTTTTTGTTGTTATCATTGTGTGTATATATAATAAATATTATAATAAAATGATGGTATTAAAATTTAAAATAAAAGCGAATAAAATAAATCAACCACAAACTTAAAATTTAAACAACCTTAATAAAATTTATTATCTTTAAATTAGAGAGGACAACATTTCATTAATATAGTTAATTAACAAAAAATTGCATACATAGGCTTTTTTAAAATCAAAGTCTCAAAAAAGTGAAAATTTATCCTTAAGATCCGTTTGGGATGATTGCAGTTTTTTTTAAAAATGTGATTGTAAAGTTGGTATGAAGGAAATAATTTTTTTTTAGAAGTTATTATAAAAAATATCTTCATAGCACAAAAAAATTTCTTGAAAATAGTAAAAAAATAATAGACAAAAAGACAGTATAATTACAATCCGAAAATCAAAGCAGTTAGAAAGCTATCCCAAATTAAAATACTATATCTCTTATTTTAAATATGATTAAAAAATAATTATATATAATTATTTTAGTAATAATCACATTCAACATACTAATAATAATTAATTAAATTAATTATTTTAAAATTTTGAAATATTTATCATAAACTGTACACTATGAATAATAACAGTGGCGGAATTAGCCTTAATTCTCAGGAGGGGCAAATGACAAATTATAAAAAAGTAAAAATATATATAAGGGTGCAAAAAAATTTTTTTACACATAATTGCTTTTCACAAACTTGATTGTTAGTGTTAGAAAAGTTCAACGTAATTTGATGAAAATAGCAGGAGACCAAGAGGCTTTCCGATTTTAGGATGGACAAATTGCATGAAAAAAAAGTCTATTGGGGGCAAAAAATAAAATTCAGAAGAGTCAGATTACAAATAACCCCCTTTCCGCACCACTACACAGTTCCGCCCCGAATAATAACAAATTTGGTTCAGGAAGCTTTAATGTTGAACAGTAATGTATTTCTAAGTCAGTAAGTCTTCTTGTTATATGGTGGGAGAGTACAAATATCTATGTGCTATAAAGCTCTGTGCTTATGTGAGCTTGATGTATTGCTGATGTAGTAATCTCATTCTTTCATGGTTTAAAGCTTAGGGTTTTCTTTATGTTTTCTTTCAGTGTTACAGTGAAGCTTTAGCAGATTTTGGTATCTTATATGCATCTGCTCTGCACATCTGAACTAATCTTTATATTCTGTCACCAATCCTTCTTCTCGAAGTAGATGGCCTGTAAGTCTTTCAAATGGGACAAGCTAATAAATGACAAATGCTGTCATTTAATTTTGGGGGCAAGCTAATGTGAGGGCCATGTAACCATCAATGATCCTTAAGTTAAGGCTTTGTTCATACCGCTCTTTTGTTGCTTCTTAAAGCTGCTTTTCAGTACAAAAATTAAAAAATTTGTGCTAGAAAACTCCTTTAAGAAGCAATAAGAAAGTCGACACAAATGAAGCCTAAGAGCAGTATCGATGATCGAGTAGATGGCCGACTACGTAAGAAATGGAAGATAGTTTGGTTGAGTTACATGTTAATTGTTTGATATTGTTGGGGATAGAAGTATAACAACGCAACGAAACAAATAAGAAAGTAAATGCAGTAGAAAGTAAAGGATGTTAGGGTTTAACATTGGAAAAATTTGAAATAAGGAAAAAAATCATGGAGTCACATCACACCAAAAAATCCACTATGAAAATATGGAGAAACAAGTACATATTTCTCTTCTCTCTCATTCTCTCCTCTTTTGCATCATTCTCTTATACAAAACAAAAGAGAAAGTCAAGTAAAAATAACACCAAGGGATGCCACCCTTGAGAAAAATGAGAAAGAAATTTTTTCTGTTCTCCTCGAAGCACTGTAGCGCCAATTT